TGACGGGTCCAGCAACAGCTGACGGGTCCAGCAACAGCTGACGGGTCCAGCAACAGCTGACGGGTCCAGCAACAGCTGACGGGTCCAGCAACAGCTGACGGGTCCAGCAACAGCTGACGGGTCCAGCAACAGCTGACGGGTCCAGCAACAGCTGACGGGTCCAGCAACAGCTGACGGGTCCAGCAACAGCTGACGGGTCCAGCAACAGCTGACGGGTCCAGCAACAGCTGACGGGTCCAGCAACAGCTGACGGGTCCAGCAACAGCTGACGGGTCCAGCAACAGCTGACGGGTCCAGCAACAGCTGACGGGTCCAGCAACAGCTGACGGGTCCAGCAACAGCTGACGGGTCCAGCAACAGCTGACGGGTCCAGCAACAGCTGACGGGTCCAGCAACAGCTGACGGGTCCAGCAACAGCTGACGGGTCCAGCAACAGCTGACGGGTCCAGCAACAGCTGACGGGTCCAGCAACAGCTGACGGGTCCAGCAACAGCTGACGGGTCCAGCAACAGCTGACGGGTCCAGCAACAGCTGACGGGTCCAGCAACAGCTGACGGGTCCAGCAACAGCTGACGGGTCCAGCAACAGCTGACGGGTCCAGCAACAGCTGACTGGTCCAGCAACAGCTGACTGATCCAGCAACAGCTGACTGATCCAGCAACAGCTGACTGATCCAGCAACAGCTGACTGATCCAGCAACAGCTGACTGATCCAGCAACAGCTGACTGATCCAGCAACAGCTGACTGATCCAGCAACAGCTGATGAACGAATCGCATTGAGCGAGTTTTTTAGCGCTAGGCGAGGCAAAATTTTTGCGTTAAAATGTATCGCTAGGCGGATTTAATGTTATGCAATGCGTTCGTTAGGCGAGGGTCCACTGTATATATGTATACACCTACCATCCGACTTACGACCGAATTCGGTTCCGAGAAACCGGTCGTAAGTCGAAATGGTCGTAAGTCGAACTTTACTACTGAATATCAACAAAACATTTTTGTAATGACTTTAATGTTTTATTTTGGTATTTCATGTTTTACTTTACTTTTTATGTTGTTAGTACTGTATTTTATACTGTAAGGTTTAGGATAAACACTGTGTACAACACAAATAGTTGTTTATTTCCCAGAAATTTGGCATAAAAATCACGGTCGTAAGTCGAGCAGGTCGTAAGTCGGATGGTAGGTGTATATAGTATATATATGTATATATATCCTAGGTAGTAGGTTGGTAGACAGCAACCGCCCAGGGAGGTATACCATCCTGCCAAGAGAGTACAAAACGAAAGCCTGTAACTGTTTTACATGATGGTAGGATTGCTGGTGTCCTTTTTTCTGTCTCATAAACAAGCAAGATTTCAGGTACGTCTTGCTACTGCTACTTACACTTAGGTCACACTACACATACATGTACAAGCATATATATACTACACACACATCTCTGGGTTTTCTGATAACATGAACGTAGATAAGTATGTTTATGGAGCAACTTGCAATGTGAACAGACTGACTGATGTTGTAGTGGCCAGGCTTAGGCTTGGTTACAAGTACTTCTGGCAGTTTGGGAGACACACAGATGATGATCAAACTAAATGTAAATTATGTGATCAGGCATATGGTCACTCTCTTGAACACTATGTGCTTAATTGTCCACTTATTGAGGAATACAGACAGACAGTATAATAACCTATGTGACATGTCAAGATATCTTATTAATGAAAATAAGATACCAGATATACTAAGCAAATTTCCTAAATTTGCTTGTAACAGATAAGTGAACTATAGATATGTAGATATAAATCCATATGTATTCCTGTTAACCCTTTGGGGCCTAGTTCCTAGGCCTTTTGTGTATCCATATGCTCTCGCGCTACCGTCCACAGGATGGATATGGGGTGCACAATAAACTAGCCACTTCGGTGGCAAAATCTAAAAAAAAAAAAATCTTGTTATTTCCTCTTATCTCCATGGGGAAGTGGAGCAGAATTCTTCCACCGTAAGCCATGCATGTTGTAAGAGGCGACTAAAGTGCTGGGAGCAAGGGGCTAGTAACCCCTTCTGTATAAATTACTAAATTTAAGGAGAGAAACTTTTGTTTTTCTTTTTGGACCACCCTGCCTCGGTGGGATACGGCCGGTTTGTTGAAAAAATATACATATATTCTAGGTAGTAGGTTGGTAGATAGCAACCGCCCAGGGAGGTACTACTGTCCTGCCAAGCGAGTAAAACGAACGCCTGTAATTGTTGTACATGATGGTAGGATTGCTGGTGTCCCTTTTTCTGTCTCAAACATGCAAGATTTCAGGTACATCTTGCTACTTCTACTTACACTTAGGTCATACTACACATACATGTACAAGCATATATATACATACCCCTCTGGGTTTTCTTCTATTTTCTTTCTAGTTCTTGTTCATTTCCTCTCATCTCCATGGGGAAGTGGAACAGAATTCTTTGTCCGTAAGCCATGCGTGTCGTAAGAGGCAACTAAAATGCTGGGAGCAAGGGGCTAGTAACCCCTTCTCCTGTATATATTACTAAATTTAGAAGGAGAAACTTTAGTTTTTCCTTTTGGGCCACCTCACTTCAGTGGGATACGGCTGGTGCGTTGAAAGAAGAATAATATATATACAGGAGGGCCCCGCTTTACGGCGTTTCACTTTACGGCGTTCCGCTAATACGGTCATTTCAAATTATGACCAAAACTCGCTATACGGCTCCCCCCACCTGACTTTCTAATACGGTCACCGTGCCCCACCCTGTTTGTTTACATTCTTCGTGAGCTCAGTAAGCACTAAGTCTCTCCATTTTGTCTGGAAACTTCAAAATTTCAAATGTTTTTAAAACTTATTTCATATTTTATATATACTCTGATAATTATACTTTTGTATACCTGTACTTAAATAAACTTACATACTGTGCTGGCATGCAGGTACACATTAAAATCAGTAAGAGTGTCTTATGTCTCCAGACGTCATATTTGTAATGATTATAATAATCATCGAGTCATTTAAATGTCGTATATTACGTTAAATACACATTTTCATTAATCCATCTATGATATTTTTTCAAAATTATATAATAAACACGATACATAACATGAAAAGATGATAAATACACCCCACAATAGAATAAATAAACAAATATGAGATGTGGTAGCCAGATAACTTGTACAAGTGATGCCAAGAATAACATTTTCTCTAATCTAACATAAGAGAAAATGTGTTACTGGGGGTAACTGTAGAAAATTATTCCTTTCGTATGTATGTAAGTAAGTTTATTCAGGTATACACAAATACAGTTACATAGATTATCATACATAACATATGTGTAGAGAACCTAGGATAACCCAAAAAAGTCAGTGACTTATTTCCATTGCCTTCACTCAGAGCATCATTTCTTCTCAAAATGATGTTACATGAGAATGGGAGTGTTCTTCTTTATTTATTCTACCGTATCAATGTAGAGACAGCCTGTACACAATGTAACTTGTACACAAACCAGACGTGTACACTTTGTTTACAAAACTTACCTTCGCCTGGTTTGTTTACATAACTCTGCGCCTGTACTCTCTCATGCACTCATTCTTTCTCTCTCTCATTTATTCGTTTTATCTCATTTACTTACTCCTGACCCTACATTAAGACTACAAATATTTTAAGGTAAGTAATGAGTGAACTGTATATACATTTTATCGCTCTGGGATGCTTAAATGTAATAGAATATTATGTGTAGGTGGGTTGGCCTGGTATGGTAGCCAGGCTGACTACCATACATACCACACTTCATTTTTTACAATGAATACTACTCATCTCACCCTATATTTTAAGGTAAGTAATGAGTGAACTGTATATACATTTTATCGCTCTGGGATGCTTAAATATCATAGAATTGTATGTGTGGGTGGGGTGGCCTGGTATGGTAGCCTGGCTGACTACCATACATACCACACTTGATTTCTTACAATAAATACTACTTGTCTCACCCTGGATTAAGACTATAAACATTTTAAGGTAAGTAATGAGTGCACTATGTGTGTATTGTACTTTTTTATTGTGTTTTGATGCCTGGTTCTATTGCTAACTTAATATATGTTAGTGTAAACTTGTTATCTAGTGTTTGTATGCATTTGTAAGTGGAAAAAAAGGGTGTTCCACTTTACGGCGGTTTCCGCTTTACGGCGGTAGCCTGGAACCTAACCAGCTGTATAAGTGGGGCCCTCCTGTATATAGTTTGTGTTCTTGGTGCAATTTCTGCATTGGCAATTTTGCCCAATTTGAATCCTATTTCAAGCAAATTCCACTGCTCCAAATTGACCAATATATTAAGCTATTTTGCTAGTATGCCTTCCATTTTATCAACTGAGCACATTCTATCAGCTCCCTTTTATAGCAGAGTTGGTGTCATAGTATAGTTGATACCATAGCAAACTTGCTACCATAGTATAGTTGCTACCATAGTATAGTTGCTGCCATAGTATAGTTACTACCATAGTATAGTTGCTGCCACAGTATAGTTGCTGCCATAGCATAGTTGCTACCATAGTACAGTTGCTACCATACTTATTATACACTAACCAGATTATAAAGATTAGCGAGTACTATATTGTTACTATTCAGTGAAATGATCAAGAATCAAACCCATGGTACAAGATTACCAATTTATAATGTTACATTAGTTGATAAAAAATTCTTATCAATATAGTACAGTATCGCTAAAAATTCAGTCATGCAAACTTCAAAGTATTGTTTATTAAAGTTTTATTTTCCTTCTCAATAGGAAAATTATAAGGCAAACAGGTGTATAAAGAATCCAGTTAGAAAATAAATAAATCTTTCAATGCACCAGCCATATCCCACCGAGGCAGGGTGGCCCAAAAAGAAAAACAAGAGTTTCTCTTTTTAACTTTAGTAATGTATACAGAAGAAGGGGTTACTAGCCCCTTGCTCCCGGCATTTTAGTCCCCTCTTAAGTGAATGGATACTCAAGTCAACTTAACTTACTCCCTTGCAGCATTCCTTCGATTCTTTGGAAAGTGATTTTGGGTATGAGACATTATGATCAGTTATGGCAGCAAAAAGTTCCTCCTCATCCTCGCCATCAAACGGTGGCTGCCCAACCAGCATTTCATACAGTAGTACGCCATACGCCCACCAGTCCACACTCTTGCCATATGGTTGATATAATATTATCTGGAAAATGCATTAGAAAATTTGTCATTTAAATATGATACTGGTTCTAAATGTTTTATTGACTTGGCAATGTTTAAATGCTTAGTATTCAAACATTACAAGCTGAGTAATGATTTTGATTATATTTTCAGAAATAAATACCAAACCCATACTGGTGATAAAGCTTTAACATTATTTTACTGTACCTATATCAACAATATTGAAGTAATTATAATTATACACCAGATCTCTATTAGTGAGAGTTTGAATGGTGCAAATTTCAATTTAGTGAAAAAATTAATTAATGCCAGTTTTTTCCCCAAACTCTTCAAATCATTCTGAAAAATTATGTATAATTCGAATAGTTCGACCACTTCATGGGATTCATTTCTTGCACTAATCAAGACCTACCTGTTTGTGGTTATACATAACTTAAGTTGCTACACAATAATGACAGATTTTCAACACAAACCTCTGGAGCAATATAATCTGGTGTTCCACAGAATGTCTTGGTAGTTTTCTCTCCTGAAATACCTTCCTTGCACATGCCAAAATCAGCAATCTTGATATGTCCATCTTGATCCAAGAGTACATTGTCCAATTTCAGGTCACGGTAAACAATGCTGCGAGAGTGGAGGTAGAACATTCCAATGGCAATCTCTGCTGCATAGAACCTGTCAGGAATTAATCTATTAGTATAAAGGACATCAAGGTGGCGAGAGACTCATTCAAAAACATGAAAACATGTTTTAATATACAGTTTTAAATTAAACTAAATTATTGTAAATATGTTTCTGAGGTAGTTCAAGATGCAGTTAGCAATGTAGTATTAATAAACTAAGAAGTTAAACCACAGTGTAATTAAATGAACAGAAGGTGGTGATAGGTAACAATGGGACCAGACTGTGGGAGCAGAGACTCCCAGAATCGTCTTCAGGTAGCAACCTACCATCTCAAAATCTCGGCAATATTGTGTTACTCTTGTCCCAAAGGGAGGAGGTAAAAAAAAAAATACTGTAGGGGGATTTAATGAGAATTTGGAGGGGCTGACAAGTACAGTACAGCCTCTCCTCACTTAGTGACATACTCATTTACCGAAGACACGGACTTACAACAGGCTCTCTGACCAGTGTGCATACCTAAATAATGTATATTAGAGCTGATTTCCTCTATTTTGTTTATTACATGTATAGTACATTACTGTACGTATAAACATTTAAAAATATACCAGAAATGTTGTAAATGGTGCAAAGGTGACATTAAAACAATACTAAAGATGGTTGACACAAACCCACTACCATTACAGTATGCTCCTCACTTAGTGACGAATTCATTTACCAACGTGGTCTTAGGAACGGAACTCCATCATTAACCCTTTGAGGGTTTCGGCCGTACTAGTACTGCTTATGACCCAGGGTTTTTGACGTACTAGTACGCCTAAATTCTAGCGCCCTCAAATCTAGTGGGAGAAAGCTGGTAGGCCTACATATGAAAGAATGGGTCTATGTGGTCAGTGTGCACAGTATAAAAAAATCCTGCAGCACACAGTGCATAATGAGAAAAAAAAACTGACCGTTTTTTTGGAATAAAACAGCGACTTTGCACTGTATTTTCGTATGGTATTTATTGTTGTATTCTAGTTTTTTGGTCTCATTTTAAAAGAAGGAGACATATTACAGAAATTGAGAAAATTTTTGACGGGTTTTTACAATGAAAAGTAGCTTGAAATTGAGCTCAAGTAGCAGAAATGTTCGATTTTACCAAAGTTCAAAAGTAAAAAAATCATGCCAAGCATCCAATACACATAAACTGGCGAGTCAAATATTCTTTTTTCACTAATGCAGTAGTCTGCATAACAGTAAATCTTCTATTTTTGTGAGAAAAAAATTCAAAGTGGAAAGCAAAAGAATGTAAGAGGGGCCCTTTAGACGTGACTAATGAACAAAGGGAAAAGTCCCTTTTAGTGCCAGGAATGTCTTTTTTTTTATTCTGGACCTATTGGAAATTGGCATCTTTGGGAAAATTTGTGTGAAATTGGCAAAATTGCTAAATTCTGACCACTGTACTGGATAGTTGAAATTGGTAAATGGGTGGTTTCTTGCACTCATTCGATAGAAAAAATGAAGTTCTAGTGAAATATTCATGTTTTCTGTCGACTAGTGCAGTGGAATTGGCCAAAAATGGGGCTCACAGTGGGCAAAATCACCGATGCATAAACATCGTCGAGACCGCTAACTTCACGAGAGCATAATTCCCTAAGTTTTCCATCAAATTTCATAATTTTGGTGTCATTATGATCGGGAAAAGATTCTCTATCTTTTCATAAGAATTTTTTTTTTTTTTTTTAATTTGGCCGACCCTGAGAACGAGTCTCGGAGAGGGCCTGTCGACCCTCAAAGGGTTAAGTGTGGAGAGACTGTATATACAAGTTTTTCCTCGTTTTATGCAGATTCACTATGTGCAAAGTTGCTTATATGTAGCAACCCTATTTCTACCAAGAATTTTCTCCGATACAAAAAATTATTATGAAAATGAAGCAGGTCATTCATGCACAATCACTCAAGCTCAATATCTCATTAAATATCCATCTAAACTACTTTATACTAATGTTCACAGAAAAAAATAATAAAAAGAAAACATTTCGGGGGGGGGGGGGGGAGGGAATCCATTGAGCCTATGTAGTGGTGAGTGAGTGAGGGTGTCTTGCAACATCCTGTGCTTCATAATATATATATATATATATATATATATATATATAAAATATATTATATATAATATATATATATATATATATATTATATATATATATATTATATATATATATATTATATATTTAATATATATTATATATTTAATATTATATATTTACCAAAACTGTTGTCCAGAGGGCTGAGGAAGGGTTGTTGAGGTGGTTCGGACATGTAGAGAGAATGAAGGCGGGGTAGGGGTCGGCCTAGGAAAGGTTGGAGAGAGGGGGTAAAGGAGGTTTTGTGTGCGAGGGGCTTGGACTTCCAGCAGGCATGCATGAGCGTGTTTGATAGGAGTGAATGGAGACAAATGGTTTTTAATACTTGACGTGCTGTTGGAGTGTGAGCAAAGTAACATTTATGAAGGGGTTCAGGGAAACCGGCAGGCCGGACTTGAGTCCTGGAGATGGGAAGTACAGTGCCTGCACTCTGAAGGAGGGGTGTTAATGTTGCAGTTTAAAAACTGTAGTGTAAAGCACCCTTCTGGCAAGACAGTGATGGAGTGAATGATGGTGAAAGTTTTTCTTTTTTGGGCCACCCTGCCTTGGTGGGAATCAGCCAGTGTGATAATAAAAAAAAATATTTAAATAAATAATTTTTTTTTCCCCCAACAAGTCGGCCGTCTCCCACCGAGGCAGGGTGACCCAAAAAGAAAGAAAATCCCCAAAAAGAAAATACTTTCATCATTCAACACTTTCACCTCACTCACACAATCACTGTTTTTGCAGAGGTGCTCAGAACACAACAGTTTAGAAGCATATACGTATAAAGATACACAATATATCCCTCCAAATTGCTAATATCCCAAAACCCCTCCTTTAGAGTGCAGGCACTATACTTCCCATTTCCAGGACTCAAGTCCGGTTATATAAAATAACCGGTTTCCCTGAATCCCTTCACTAAATATTACCCTGTTCACACTCCAACAGATCGTCAGGCTCCAAATACCATTTGTCTCCATTCACTCCTATCTAACACTCTCACGCACGCTTGCTGGAAGTCCAAACCCCTTGCCCACAACACCTCCTTTAACCCCCCCCCCCCCAACCCTTTCTGAGGATGACCCTACCCCGCCTTCCTTTTCCCCTACAGATTTATCGTCTCCATGCATTTATTTGATCCATTCCTTAATGCCCAAAACCCACCTGAAAAACCCTCTTCAGCCCCCTAAAAATCTTTTTTTTAAATCCACACCTTCTCCCAAATTTTCCCCACTCCCAATTTTCTGCATAATATTTACACCCCACATTTCTCTTAGACGGACATTCCAAATGCCCCCAACCACCTCCTTGCTCAGCATTTCAACCCAAGCTTAAAAATATAAAGTGTTTTTACTACTATCTTTCATATATTTTCCCTTCTTTGCTTCCAAGATAACATTTTTGTCCCACATATACCTCAACGGGAAAAACCCACCTTTTTTCCCCTATCAATTTTATGATTAACCTCATCCTTCATAAAAACCATCCCCTTACACGTCAAACCCCCAAGTACGAAAACATTCACTTCTTTCATACCCTCCTCCCCAATTTTATATCCAATTTTTCTTTATCTAAAATCATTTTTATACTCTCATCAACCTTGTTTCAAAAAATTCCCATGTATAGGTTTTAAGAACAGGTGAAAGAGGTTTTCCCATTGCCCATACCAAATTTTTTGGTGTAAAATTTTTCTTAAAAACAAAATTTTTCATAACAATGCAAAGTTTTAAAAATTTTAAAGATAGTAGGAACGGCAATGGTAAAACATAGTTAACGAGTCTTCAGTAAAAAAACTTAATAAATCATCAACGGAAATTTCGTAAACAAGGAAGTAACTCAAAATAACCATGTTAAAATCATTTAGGTCAGCAAGGAGCTTAATTTATCAACCCAAATCTTGTTATTTTTAACTTAAAATTGAAATTTTTGCCCAAAAATAGGGCTCAAATATCAACAAACTTTGGATAATTTTTATGAAAACTGCCCCATGGAGCAAAAAATTGGGGTTTACTGGTTCCCTGGGTTTTTGTGTTTTTATTAGTCCTACATGTAAGGCAAAGAGGATTAGTGGAAGTAAATTGTTTGACTAATTTCTTTGCCTTTCAGTAGAAGTTTTATTGTTTTATTGAAATTGCTGTTAAACGGTTTCTAGGGGATTTTTCCTAAGTTTAGAATAGGTTTCAGTATCATCTAAGAGATTATCTTAGATGATACTGAAACCTATTCTAAACTTAGGAAAAATCCCCTAGAAACCGTTAACAGCAATTTCAATAAAACAATAAAACTTCTACTGAAAGGCAAAGATGAATTTAGTCAAAACAATTTACTTCCACTAATCCATCTTTGCCTTTACATGTAGGACTAATAAAAACACACAAACCAGGGAATCCAGTCAGACCAATTATTAGCTCCATAGGGTCAGTTTCATATAAATTATCCAAATGGCTTGTTGATATTTTGAGCCCTATTGTTGGCAAAATTTCTAACTTTAATGTTAAAAATAACATAGACTTGGTTGATAAATTAAGCTCCTTGACTGACCTAAATGATTTTAAAAATGGTTAGTTTTGTGTTACTTCCTTGTTTACGAAAGTTCCTGTTGAATGATTTATTAAGTTTTCTTATCTGAAGACTCGTTTTAAATATGATTTACCATTGCCATTCCTACTATCATTAAACTTATTAAACTTTGCATTGTTGATGCAAAATTTGTATTTAATGATAAATTTTACACTCAGAAGTTTGGTATGGCAATGGGAAAACCCCCTTTCACCTGTTCTTAGTAACCTATACATGGAATTTTTTGAAACAAGGTTACTTTAAAACAATCCTCCCTAATAGAGCTAAATGGTTCAGATATGTTGATGATATTTTGTGTCTTATGCCCCAAAAAAGTAGATATACACCATTTCCTTGGAAAATTAAATAGCTTAGCCATTCAATAAA